TGAGTTCCGATCCCAGACATGCCACGTCCTGACTATTTCAATATCGGCGTCCCCGGAAGTCCCGCCCCTTTCCCCGGGGCCAGTTTTTCATCCCGAGTCATTTCCTGACGGCCCAGAGGACCGGCGAGGGCCCCCCAGGGGCCGAAAATAGCGAAAAACCTGCCGTCCTGATCTTGTTACGACGCGATCATGCCTGGGTCCCCCTCCTCGTCCTCTTCTGTCTCCAATAACAGGGGATGCGTCGACCCCTATCCCAGGCTCCGTGAGGTTTTCGAGAGGATCAACAATTTGGGGCCCAACCCTGGGATATACGAGGGGGGGGCGTCCATCCTCGACAGTGCGTCCGAATAGCCCCCTCGGGATGTATCCCAAGATTCCTCCCCTTTTCTGAGCGACCAAACTTTTCTGGCGGAAGTCGGGGATTGGGGGAGAGAAATCGCCTGCGATCCAACGTAGCGGGTTCCGACTGTATGTTGTATGGTTCGGTTGCCTGTCGTACGAAGCCGGGGGCCAGTGACAGGCGAGGGCAAGCCGAAGGCCCGCCGTCCGCCGCCATGCCCTAGCTGCTCTCCAGACATGGTCCTCCTCCTCCTCCTCCTCCTCCTCCTCCTCCTCCTCCTGCTCCTCCTCCTTCTCTTCCTCCTCCTCCTCCTTCTCTTCCTCCTCCTCCTCCTCCTCCTTCTCATCCTCCTCCCTCTCTTCTTCCTCCTCCTCCTCCTCCTCCTCCTCCTCCTCATCCTTCCTCCTCCTCCTTTTCCTCCTTTTCCTCCTCCTCCTTTTTCTCCTTTTTCTCCTTTTCATCATCTTCTTCCTCCTCCTCCTCATCATCTTCCTCCTCCTGCTCCTGCTCCTGCTCTCCTGCTCCTCCTCCTCCTCCTCTCCTCCTCCTCCTCTCCTCCTCCTCCTTTTCTCCTCCCTTTTCTTCTCCTCATTTTTCTCCTGTTTCTCCTTTTCATCCTCCTCCTCCTCCTCCTCCTCCTCATCATCATCATCATCTTCCTCCTCCTGCTCCTGCTCCTGCTCCTGCTCCTGCTCCTGCTCCTCCTCCTCCTGCTCCTCCTCCTCCTCCTCCTCCTCCTCTTCCTGGGGACGGGAGCAGCACGGAGAGGGCACTCGGTGCCTGTTTCTTTCAACTCGCGGCCCCAGATTTGGGTGTCGCTTAATTGGGGCGTCGAGAACCTGGGGGGGAGAAGAAAGGTGCATTTTTGAAGGGCTCCTGTAGGGATCTTACGGGGCCCCTTTTCTGCAGCCCTCGCTGCCCCATCATTGATCGCCCCCCATTGCGCGACGCCCAATCAATAACATGAGACCCGCCGCTGGCCTCACGACCCTCCCCCAGGATGCACGAGAACATCCAGCACACACGAAGAACAGCAGGGTACCCTCGCCGAAGCGACCTCGATCTTATACTCCGGTCCGACCGCAATCAAGACGGAAGTTTCGATTCGAGGTTGGAGGTGTTCGGAAGTTTCCGTCGTTTCTCGGCGGTGTTCCAGCCTCGGGGATTCTGGGGGTGTCCGGATTGCCCCGAATGGCCGCCTGAGGGCTCAAATCTGATTCGAACGGCAGACATGCAGCGTCTTGAACAAGAGCGTTTTGCTGTCTTCTGCCTCTGAAGGCCTTCGCCAAGACTCTGAACGTCTAAACCGACTCAGGGCGAAAACCTAACTCTGGGTGAAGGTTCGGCGGAGAGGAGGGGAGAGGAGAGAGGAGGAGGAGGAGGAGGAGGAGGAGGAGGAGGAGGAGGAGGAGAGAAGAAGAGGAGCAGGAGAGGAGGAAGAGGAGGAGCAGGAAGCGGAGGAGGAGGAGGAGGAGGAGGAGGAGGAGGAGGAGGAGGAGGAGGAGGAGGAGGAGGAGGAGCAGGAGGAGGGAGAAGGGAGTCAGGGAGGAGGAGGCGGAGGAGCAGGGGTCTGGACCTTTACCCCAAGGCCGGCTCTTCATCCTGAGCAGATTTTGATGTCCGGGGGCTAGGCGGGCTCGCGCCCTAGCTGACATCCTACCCGCCCATCCCTCCATACTGCGCCGATGACCTGGAGCAGCCAACAAAAAACACCATCGTGTTATCCGCATCAGGCAAGGGACCCTATAGGCATTGGAGGAGGAGGTGGCGGATGAGCAGGAGGATGAGCAGGAGGAAGAGGATGATGAAGGAGGAGCAGGAGCAGGAGCGGGAGAACTGGAGGAGAAGGATGACCAGGGGAAGGCGGGGGAGGCGCAAGGAGCGGGGCGATGCTCCCTGGAAGAACTCGGAGCCAGAAAAGTGGCCCGCGAGAGCGCCGTTCTGAACGACGGGAGCAAAGCGCCGATCCTAAATGAGGCCTCCGCCGCAGCGGGAACACCATTTAAAACACAGAACACATCCCGACTGCACAAGCCAAGAGGGAATGCCATGCCATCCGGTAAACAAACAATACGCGGAGAGGGTCGGGACACTTCCAGGATGTAGCAGGGGAAGCGAAGAGAGTAGTACTCATAGTGGGTAATGAGCAGAAGGGAGGGACGGAGAAATGAGGATAATGGTAAGGACACGTAGAGGACGAGATGAGAGGAAAGAGAGGGAAAAAGGAGAAGGAGGGGAGAGGGCAGAAGAGGAGAGGGAGGAATGGGAGGAGGAAGAGGATAACGATGATGATGACGATGATGATGATGATGCTGATGCTGATGATGATGAGGAGGAGGAATAATGATGGAATGGGAAGAGGAGGAATAGGAGGAGCTGGGCGATGATGAGGAGGATTACGATGAGGAGACGAGAGGCATTAGGAGGAGGACTGTATAACTGTATGACCTGAAAGGTACCTGCTACAATGCTGATATCATAATGCCAGAGAGAGAGAGAGAGGCTCGGTAGGAGGAGAAGGAGGAGGAGGAGAAGGAGGAGGAGGAGGAGAAGGAAGGGAGGGGGAGGAGGAGGAGGAGGAGGAGGGAGGAGGAGGAGGAGGAGGAGGAGGAGGAGGAGGAGGAATTGAGGAGGAAGGAGGAAAGGAGGAGGAGGAGGAGGAGGAGGAGGAGGAGAAGGAGGAGGAGGAGGAGGAGGAGGAGGAGGAGGAGGAGAGGAGGGGGAAGGAGGAGGAGGAGGAGCAGGAGGAGAGAGAGAGTAGGAGGAGGAGGAGTAAATGGAGGAATGGAGGATGGAGGAATGGATGAGGGAGAGGAGGAGGAGGAGGAGGAGGAGGAGGAGGAGGGGGAGGAATGAGGTGGAGAGAGGGGAGGAGTGGAAGGAGGGAGGAGGAGGAATGGAGGGAGGAGGAGGAGGAGGAATGGAGGAGGAGCAGGAGAGAGGAGGAGGAGGAGGAGGAGGAGGAGAGGAGGAAGGAGGAGGAGGAGGAGGAGGAGGGGAGGAGGGAGGAGAGAGGAGGAGGAGGAGGAGGAGGAGACGAGAGGCAAGATAGGGGAAGAGGAGTCCGCCGGCGACGCAGCGGAGCAGGGGGGGGCCACAGCGCACGGCAGAGCGCGACGTCCTGCAGGCTGGCGGAGACGGCCTGGCGGGGAGGGGGGGGCTGGGCGGCCCGAGCGCAGATGGAGCGCGCCGCGCCCGAAGGAAGGAAGGAGAGGAGGAGGAGGAGGAGGAGGAGGAGGGATGGAGGAGGAGGTGGAGGAGGAGGAGGAGGAGGAGGAGGAAGAGGAGAAGGAGGCGGACTCGGAGACGGAGGGGAGGAGGAGGAGGAGGAGGAGGAGGAGGAGGAGGAGGAGGAGGAGGAGAAGGAGGAGGAGGAGGAGGAGGCTAGACTCGACCCAGAAGGGTCTTGCAAACGAATTCGACCCTCGGGACCACCCAAGCCTCCCAGATTCAGCCCCAGCCTGGCACGGTCGCGCCAGGGGCAACGCTTGAGAGGTCGAGGGGGTCCTCGGGGCCCGACACACCACGGGCCCTACGGGCCTGGGCCTCGGCCCTGGCCTCCAGGGCTCTGGACCCCAACCGCTGGGCCTCTGCCAGCCGAAGCCCGAGAGACGACAAGACTTCCAGGACGCTGGGCCTCTTAGGGCCAGCAGCCGTCGGGCCACCCGTTTGGGCCACCACAGGAGGCTCGGGGGGAAAATGCCCAGACCAAAAAATGATCTCGGACTCGACGGGCGACCGCAAGCTCCCAAAACGCCTGTTCCCTCTGGGGTGCTTCAAGTGCTTCAACGCGGAATTATTATTCTTGGCACTGGGGACCGGGCCTCCTGGACACTTACCCTGGAGGCCTCGTCCCCGTTTGTCAGAAACATACCCGGCACGTAATACAAAAGAGGAGGCAGCCGCTGGTCTGCTGGGCCGCGCGTGCCTTTTCATCCACGAAAATGGGCGCCGCGAGCAAAGCGTGCCCGCCGACGCGCCAGGGATGAAGTCCAGCGGGCACGACGTCGGGCTCCGACGTCGCGCTCCCCACATCTGTACGGGCGCTGGCCGCGGCCTCACCGTCGGCACCCCCCACCTCATCCTCGAACTCATCTGGCCACTGTGGCCACCCGCCGAGGTCGATCAGCCTCAGTGCCACCGCGCCCATGGAGTCGAGCATGTTTGTGCGCGACAGCTGCACCTCGTGCGCGGCCGCGAAACGCGCCGCCTGGCGAGCCAGCGCCTGGCAGCCCTCGACCACGTGGATGTCATCGAGGCTCGCTCTGGCTGTCGCCGCGCGCTGCTTGGCTCGCCTGTCGGCGCGAGCATTGCCGTCCAGCTCGAACTGCGAGACGAGGCCATCAGCGACCGCCTTGGGGCCCAAGTGGGCCTTGATCTTGACAACCGTCACGTCCTGCAGCTGCTCTGCCTGGCCAGCCCACAGGTGCGCTCGCTGGCAACTGGCGGCGGCCGCCGCCGTTGGGTTGGCCGCGCAGCGCACCGTGGCCATGCAGTCAATGTAGAGCCTGTAGCGGCCCTCTGCCACCTGCGACGTGAGGACCTTCACAGCGTAGTCCTCGCCGTCCCTGGCCAGCTGCTCGGGGGCTTCCGCGATCGGAACCGCTCCCCACGCCTCCGCTACCAGCCTGTAGGCCTCGTCAAAGACCACCACGGCCCATCCCGCGGTGCACAGGCGCGGGCAGGCCTGGTCGAGGCCCGAGCCGTCCACAAAGACGTGGTGTCCGTGGAGGTGCGGTCCCAGAGTGTACCAGCTCGTCGTACTCTCGAAGTGGTCCGCTGCTGGTCGAACAGGCCTGTCCATCAACTCCGAAACGTCAGGGGAGAGGCCCCTGGCGAACAAGTCGGCGAAGGGATAGCCCAGGCTCTCCACTCGATCAGCGGCTCCACGCAGCGGCCCCTCCAAGTAGTCACGCCTCCAGGCCTCATGCGCCTCATAGCGGAAGCGCCTGTGGAAGAGCGAGCCGTCCTTGAACCCACAGAGCTGGCAATTGGACGGCACCGCGCGCGAGCTGTCAGCCGCTGCGACCCTAGCCTGGCGCCAGCAGGTGTTCTGGATGAGGCTGCGCAGCGCCCGTTGGTGGTGCTGGTCCCAGACCTCCGATCGATGACTGGCAAGATCAAGGATCGGTTGCCAGAAGGGCGGTATGCTCCAGCCCCACATGCTGGGGCCCTGCCTGGCCACCTCCCCCAGCCCGATGGCGACGCGGCAATGCTGTTCCACCAGTCTGCCAAAGAAGGCAGGAGAGTGCCTCCTGACGTCGTAGGCGGTCCCCGTGCTGTCATGGACCAGGTAGGGGTCGCCTTGCATGAAGCCCCAGCCGACACGCTCCAAGGTGAGGACCAGAGCGCTGATGGGGTCCTTGACCTGCCGCCAGGGAAGCCGTTGCTGGGCGAGCGCCAAGCCCCTGGCAAGGCAGGAGCGGGCTGCCGCCTCAGGCAGCAACGAGGCCCAGATCACCTCGACGTAGGCCACGAGCGCGGTCCTGGTGACGATGGTCAGCGGGTCCCGCTTCCAGCCACTCGTCTGGGCAAGGCTGGCAAACCCCAAAGCGGCCCCTCGGGGCAAGCGCCCTCTCGCCTTGACCGCCCCGACTCGCAGCTGGCGCAACCTGCCGCTCGGGACGCCCATGATGGCCGATCCCCAGGTGGCCTTGGCCGTGGGGCCTGCACGGTAGACCCTCGCACGGTCCAGGCCCGGGCGGAAAAGGCTGGTGAGCTTCCTTCACTGAGCTCGCGCCTGCTGCTCTCTTGTAGCTGCTGTCGTGACTCGGCGGTACGGCCCTGAGATCGCGTCTCCGCCGAGGTCCCTGTGCATGTCCACGAAGTCGTCGGGCCCGAGGTCCCAGCCAGGCTGCCGCATCAGCGCCTGGCGCAGCTCCTTGCTTGTAGCGAGCACCTTGGTCTTGTGCCTGCGCAGCGGGAGGTTGGCCTCTTGCACCTTCTCGCAAGAGGCCTTGTAGGTGGCTCCCAGCTGCTGGGCCACCATAGAGCGGGGCCCTGTGACGTGGGCCGACACGTCGCCCACCACGTTGAGCAGCCCGGCGATGGGCGCCGCTGCCGCCGCGGCCCGCAGGGCCGAGAGCAGGGGCAGCTTCGCCAGCGCCGTGGCGCAAGAGCAGCCAGCCACCACCGTGCCGTTGGACGGCCCCGCTGAGGCAGGAGCTGATGCGCGCCCGACGCGGCGCCAAGTAGGTGACGCAGAGGGCTCTGAGGAGCCCAAGGTCGAACCCCCAGGCCCGCGCCGCCACCTTGAGCTCGGCGTGGCCGATGTGCTCGTAATACTTTTGCAGGTCCATGTAGATGGATGCGGCCTCCTCATGCACGTGCTTGGCATGGGCCACGAACGCGCTGTGGAGCCAGGCCGCCTTGTCACATTCTCGCGAGGCCGAGGTCCCCCCAAATGGGGTTTGCTCCGGCGACCTCTCCCAATTTGGCCGTGTAGCCCTGACGCACTCTTGACCAAATCCTGGCCACCAGCGGCATGAGCCCGATGGGCCGCTGCCCCCCATCGGGCTTCGACAAGAAGACCATGATCACGGTCCACAGCTCGCCGCAGTAGGGAGCACGCTCCCAGGAGTTGAGCAGACTGGCGAGCCTGGCCAAGATGTCCTCCCCCACCTCCAGCAGCAAGCGCGGGTGGAAATTGTCCCAGCCAAGGCCCCTGCTCCTGGAGAACTTGCGCGCCGCGAGCTTGATGTCGTCCACTGCGATCGGCGGCAGCACCCGCTCGCCGACGTCCCAAAGGCCTGGGTGCCCCTGGCCGCTCCGACTGGGATCTGACCAGAGGGGGAGCCAGTCGGCTAGCACCCTCTCCAGAGCAGGCTGGCCCACCAGAGCGCGGCCCACCGTGCCTGCCTCAAGGACGGGGTTGGGCTCTCCATGGGCTTCTTGATAACCTTGTGGGCCAGCGATCCTCGACGTTCGAAGGCCTGCTCCGAGAAGTGGTCCCACTTTAGTTTGCTGGCCTTTGCATCCTCCTTGGTATGCTTGGCCACCACCTGTTCCATCACAAGTAAAAATGTGTATCCCAAATCAGTCTGGAGGCCGAACTCGCCCCATGAATTCGAGAACACCGTGCCATCGAACATCGTGATGGACTGCTCCTGGGACTTGACCTTCAAACGACTGGCTGCCTCAAAAAGCTGCTGCGCTCTCCTGGCCCTGTAACAGCCGGGCAGGTCGTTGGACCCGGTGGGCCCCAAGTCCCACCTTCTCTTGGACGGGTGGCGCAGCGAAAGCCAGAGGTAGGTGACCTCTGCTGCTCGTTCAAAACGGTTCTCCTGGATCTTGGCCTCCAGAGGAACTGAGACCGTCCTGAGGCCCTTGGACCTGCCCTTGTAGTACTTTGCCTCGCTACTGGGCATCCCATGCAGAGCCTGCAGTGCCCCCTCGGCTTGATCAAAACAGCCCTTGACTGCCCCCTCCAAGCCTGAGCCAGGCGGGGGCCAGGGGAGGGTGGCCACTAGCAGGTTGCGCTTGGTCCTGGCCTCCTCATCGGCCTCGAACTCCAACTCGAAGCCCTTCGGCGCCCGCTGCGTCTGGATCATGGGCCGCTCCCAGCAGCCACGTAACACGAGCGACACGACCTGGTGCGGGCCGTTGGGGGTGTCCGCGTGGCACTCGATGGAGTCCACCAGGTCCTCAAGCGCGCGCGAGATGACGAAGCAGTCGTACTCTTTATCGCTGCATGTGGCCAACCCAGGGCCAGGACCGCTCCTCCCATGAGCTCAGGCCATCCTGAGGTTGCCAATTCGCTCGCCTCGATGTTCCAGTCACCACCAATGATGAAAGGCTCGTCCAAGTGCGCGCACCACGCGTGGATGTCTTCCAGCAGCTGCCTGCTGGGCCCCTGGAGCCCTATCGAGTCCTCAAGGTACACCGAGATCATGGCAATCGTGGTGCCCTCGCCCACTGAGACTCGACGAGCTAAGAAACGATGTGGGGGCCCATCCCAGGGCTGGAGGTATCTCGCTGTGCCCAGCAGCGTCGAGGAGACGATGGCAACTCCCGACGAGACTGCCGTGGCGGCACCTCCAGTCCTCAGGGCCCCTGAGGCCGCTAGTCGATGGCCTCCTCGGCTGGCCCAACCATGGGCCTGCTCCACTGCCGTATTAGAAGTGAAGCGCGTCTCCTGGACGAACATCGCGTGCGGTGCCATCCCCTTCTTCCTCATCCACTCGTGGACACTGGAGGCCGTGTTCCACGTGTTGCCGTTGTAGGTGCACACTGCAAGCTTGCCCTCGACCTGCCCAGGCGCAGGCGCCAGAGCGCCCTGGTCGGGAAGCAGGCGATTCAGCTGCAGCAACCTCCTTTCGCCCAGCCCAGCGTGGGCCCCGAGGCGCTCCCTCCTTTTAAGCCTTTGGGCACCGAGCTGGCAGGAGGGGTCTGCGGCTCCCAGGCTTGTAGCCGCGGTCGCCGAGCCAGAAGACGCCATCACACCTGTAGTCGCAGAGGCCAGTGCTGAAGTCGCCTGCGTAGAACTCCCTGTACCTCCATGTCGCTCACGTAGCAGGGCCTCCCCCGCCTGGCCAGAGCCGTGGTCAGCGCTTCCTCCCACTGCCACGGGAATCGACCACCCCCCCGTCGGGGGCCGTGGCAGAAGGGCACCTGGAGGGGGAGGCAGCCGTGCGCGCGTCCGCGGCTCCCTCGCTCCAGTTTGAAACGTGCCAGGACGACCGTTGCTGGGAGAGGCCATGCCAAAACCCGAACTCTTCGTCTCCGCGGTCGGCGAGCCCGAAGACGCAATCAGCCCTGTCGTCGCGGTGGCCAAACCCGAGGTCGCCTGCCGAGAGCTCCAGGTACCTTTATGCCGCTCATGTGGCGGGGCCTCCCCTGTCTGGTCCGAGCCGTGGTCAGCGCTTCCTCCCACTGCCACGGGCATCGACCACACCCCCGTCGGGGGCAGTGGCAGCGGGGCACCTGGAGGGGGAGGCAGCAGTCCGCGCGTCCGCGGCTCCCTCACTCCAGTTTGAAGCGGACCAGGCCGCCCGTTGCAGGGAGAGGCCATGCCCATCGCCGAACGCGCCGCCCCCTCGGTCGCCGAGCCCGAAGACGCCATCCAACCAGTAGTCGCAGAGGTCGACCCAGAAGTCGCCTTCCGAGAACTCCAAGTACCTCTGTGTCGCTCACGTGGCGGGGCCCCTCCCGCCTGGTCGGTGCCATGGACAACGCTTCCTCCCACTGCCACGGGCATCGACCACCCCCCCGTCGGGGGTCGTGGCAGCGGGGCACCCGGAGGGGGAGGCTGCCATCCGCGCGTCCACGGCTCCCTCACTCCAGTTTGAAGCGGTCCATGCCGACCGCTGCTGGGAGAGGCCATGCCCATCTCCGAACTCGCCGTCCCTAATGTCACCCACCGAGGAGGCGTGGCTGAACTGGTTGGACGTGAGGGCGCGGGAGCGTGACGGTAGGGGGCTGAATCCCCTTCCCCCGCGCCCAATTGTGCCTCAGAGCCCACGCGGATACCCGCGGGGCTTAGTGCCATCAGCAGCACTAGCAGACCCTGGAGCAGCCTGGCCACCAGCCTTCGGCTCGGCGCGCTGGCGGGCATGCTCTGAGGCCGAGGCGCCGAGCTTCGCCGCGTTGCGACGGATCTGCTCCGCCGCGGCATCACATGCTGCGGGTGCCGCTGGGGCCGCTGCAGCCGATGGCTTCCGCTGTTCCCCAGCGGGCCCCCCGCAAGCTGGCGGGGTCGCGGGGGCCGTCGGCGGCCCGGCGGCGGCCGCAGGGGTGGCCTGGCCATCCTCGGTGTCGTCGCCGAGCTTGCGCTTCTTCTTGATCGCATCCTCGGCCTCCTGCTTGATGCGCCGCAATTGTTCCTGGCACTGCTGCTCAAAGTTCTGCTGGGCCACCCGCATGATGTCATGGCCCTCCGCGCAGAGGCGCTTGAGGTTCGCCTGCGCCTCCTCCTCCAACTCGCCAAAGTTCTCGAGGGACTCGGCGTCGAAGTTGAAGGTGAGCTGCTTGTCCACCTCCAGAATGGGCGCTCCGACTCCCGACGCCTGCGCCCGACGGCGGAGGAGCTGGGCCTCCTCTGCCTGCGCCTCGGCGAGGTGGAGCGCACAGGTGTCGCGCCAGCTGCGGCAGTCGGCCAGCTGCGCCTTCGCAGCAGCCACGGCGTCGGCGGCGTCGTCGAGCTGGCGCTGGAAGTTGACACGGCGGCCCGTGGCCGACTGCAGCTGCTGCTCCAAGGCCCTCCCCGTAGCCGCTGGCGAGGGAGGCCTGTACCCCCTCGCTGCAGCCACCGCCTCACGGAGCTGGCGACGGCGACGGCTGGTGGGAGCTCCAGGCATTGGCCACAGTGCCAACAGGTCGGATTCTTGCGAAAGTTCCATCTGTAGCGGGACCCCGTGCAGATGACAAAGCCAGGCTGGGCCTTCTTCGGCGCCATTGCGAGCTCGAGGGCGCCAAGGCCTGCTCAGTCGCGGGGCGGCGACAGGCAGCAGTCGACGGGGGCGGACCCGTCGACTGGATCAAACCTGTCGGGCAGAGGCGCCCTGGCACTGGCCGCGGACTAGCGGTATCCACGTGTTCCACCGTGGGAACAAACCATCTTGAGCCAAAATGGCTAGGAGGGGGGGAGGAGGAGGAGGAGGAGGAGGAGGAGGAGGAAGGATGCGAGGAGGAGGAGGAGGAGGAGGGAGGAGGAGGAGGAGGAGGAGGAGGAGGAGGGGGAGGAGTGGAGGAGGAGGAGGAGAGGAGGAGGAAGGAGGAGGAGGAGGAGGAGGAGGAGAAGGCGGTAGGAGGAGGGGGGGGTAGGAGGAGGAGGAGGAGGAGGAGGAGGAGGGAGGAGGAGCAGGAGGAGGAGGAGGAGGAGGAGGAGCAGGAGGAGGAGGAGGAGGAGGAGGCAGGAGGAATTTGGAGGAGGAGGAGGAGGAGGAGGAGGAGGAGGTGGCAGGAGGGGAGGAGGAGGAGGTGGGATGAGGAGGATAAGGAGGAGGAGGAGGAGCAGGAGCAACCCTCCACACCCTCTGCTCGTGCGCCTCCACTCCCCCTTTCGTACGCCTCCTCGTCCTGCCGCCCCCACCCCCCCGCTGGCTCGGCTGCCATACGACGGCGGCGGTCCCGCCCGCCCGCGCGGAGCCTCGGCCCTGAGCTTCCCGACGTCGCCCTCCTCCAAGAAGAAGCTGTGCCCCAGGTCGGCTGCCTGGGCGGGGAAGGGAAACTCGGAGGATGAAGAGGAGGTGGAAGGGGGGGGAGGAGGATGATAACCGAAGAGGAGGGAAGATGACGAGGCGGAGGAGGAAGAGGAGGAGGATGAGGTGGAGGAGAAAAGAGGAGCGGAAGAGACGGGAAGAGGATGTAAGTAGAGGTGGTAGCACCAGGAGGCGGCAAGAGGAGAAGTGTACTTGAGGAAGGAATGGAACGGGAGGAGGAAGAGGAGGATGAAAGGAGGAGGAACAGGAGCAGGAAGAGGAGAAGGAGGAGAAGGAGGAGAAGGAGGAATGGTATGAGGAGGGGGAGAAACAAGAAGAATAATGAGGGGAACGCAACGAGTAGAAAACGGAAACTGCTGATGTTGATGATGATGTTAATGGTGACGCTGATGATGGCGATTGTGATGATGGTGCTGCTGATGTGGATGGTGAGGATGCATATGATGATGTTGATGCTGACACTGATGCTGATGCTGATGCTGACGCTGCTGCTGCTGATGATGATGATGAGGCTGATGATACTAATGAGGATGATGACGACGATGGTGATGATGGTGATGCTGTTGATGATGATGATGATGATGATGATGATGGTGTTGATGATGATGATGCTTCTGATGATATCGACGGCGATGATACTGATGCTGCTGTTGATGATGACGGCGGTGGTGGCAATGATGATGATGATGCTGATGATGCGATTGCTGATGGTGATGGTGATTATGATGATGATGCTGAGGGTGGTGGTGATGCCTTTGTTGATGAGTATGCTGGTGCTGCTGATGATGATGATGATGGCTATGCTGATGTTGCTGATGCCGATGGTATTGTTGCTGATGCTGCTGCTGACGACGATGATGGTGGTGGTGGTGATGATGCTGCTGATGGTGATGACGTCGGTGGTGATGATCCTGGTGATCCTGATAGTGATAATGACCACGGTGGCGGTGATGATGCTGATGGTGATGCTAATGATGATGATGATGATGATGCTGATGCTGATGATGATGATGATGATGATGATGATGATGATGATGATGATGATGATGATGGTGATGTTGATGACGAAGCTGCTGATGATGACGATGATGGTGATGCTGCGGAAAAGTGGAAGGACGAGGAGGAAGAGCTGATGCTGATGCTGACGCTGCTGCTGCTGATGATGATGATGAGGCTGATGGTACTAATGAGGATGATGACGACGATGGTGATGATGGTGATGCTGTTGATGATGATGATGATGATGATGATGATGATGATGATGCTTCTGATGATATCGACGGCGATGATACTGATGCTGCTGTTGATGATGACGGCGGTGGTGGCAATGATGATGATGATGCTGCGATTGCTGATGGTGATGGTGATTATGATGATGATGCTGAGGGTGGTGGTGATGCTATTGTTGATGAGTATGCTGGTGCTGCTGATGATGATGATGGCTATGCTGATGTTGCTGATGCCGATGGTATTGTTGCTGATGCTGCTGCTGACGACGATGATGGTGGTGGTGGTGATGATGCTGCTGATGGTGACGACGTCGGTGGTGATGATCCTGGTGATCCTGATAGTGATAATGACCACGGTGGTGGTGATGATGCTGATGCTGATGCTGATGCTGATGCTGATGGTGATGCTAATGATGATGATGATGATGATGATGATGATGATGATGATGATGATGATGATGATGATGATGATGATGATGCTGCTGCTGCTGCTGCTGCTGCTGATGATGATGATGATGATGATGTTGATGACGAAGCTGCTGATGATGACGATGATGGTGATGATGCGGAAAAGTGGAAGGACGAGGAGGAAGAGGAGGAGGCGGAGGAGGAGGAGGAGGAGGAGGAGGGGGGGGAGCAAAAGGGAAAAACGAGAAGAAGGGGAGGAGGAGGAGAAAATAGGAGGAGGAGGTGGGAGGAGGTGGGAAGGGAGGATTGGGAGGGAAGGGGAGGGAAGAAGAGGATGATGATGCTGATGATGATGATGATGAGGAGGAGGAGGAGGAGGAGGAGGAGGAGGAGGAGGGAAGAGGAAAGAACATGAAGGGAAGAGAAGGTGGGAGGAGGAGGAGGTGTGGAGGAGGAGGAGATGGAGGAGGAGGAGGAAGAGGAGGAGGGAGAGGAGGAGGAGGAAGAGGAGGAGGGGGCGGAGGAGGAGGAAGAGGAGGAGAAGAAAAAGGAGGAATCGGAGGAGGAAGAGGAGGAGGAGGCAGTGTGAACGAAGGACGGACGGGATGTAACTCGTGATCCACACGCCGTCTGCGCGCAATGGGCGCGCTGCGTGCGCTGCGGGGATCGGGTGCGTACCCCTCCTCTGCCTTCCTCCTCCTCCTCCTCCTCCTGCTCCTGCTCCTGCATCCTCCTCCTCCCTCTCCTTCCTCCTCTGCCCTCCTGCTTCATCCTACTTCCGCCCGCCTCACTCCTCCCTCCTCCTCCTTCCACATCTCCCCTTCCCTCCTCCTTCCTCCACATTCTCTACCGCGCCTCCTGCTTTCGCCTCCTCCATGTTCCTCCGTCCTCCACTGCTTCCTCCTGGTCTTCTTGCGTGCTCATCCTGCTCCTAACTACAAGGGAAGGGGGGAGGAGGACGGGAACAGGAACAGAAGGCGGGAGGGGGGGGGGAATATATGTTGGGAAGGGGAAGGATAAGGGGTAAGGAAGAAAGAAAGGGGCAGGGAACCGAGAGGAGGGGCAGAGGTGAGAGCCAGAGGGCCAGAAGGTCGGGAAGGGGGTGGTGGATGGAGGATGGGGAACGGAGGATGGCAAAGTGCAGCGGGAAGGAAAGACTGGAATACATGGAGGCTGGCCCGAATCCGCCTCGAGACGGCTGAAACACGGCTTAGAAGCAGCCCGAAACGGCCCGAAGACACACGCCAGATGGCGCCAGGGGCCCTCCACGTGTTCGCGAAGCTCGACCCAAAAGGTTGCTTGCCGCCCTTTGCATGGGGAAAGCTCGCGGTGAGTTACACGCTGCGGACTTCCAGGATGCTGGGAAGACAGGTGTCAAGCGTTGTCTCTCGGAGTAACTTTCGCATGTCACGGCCATCCAGAGACTGCAGAATAGCGTCTCAAGTGATATGATACCACTGGCAGGGACGAAAGCTGTCACAGTCTATGGCATTTGGGGTGGCTCTCGAATGGTCGATACAAGCGGCCCCACACACAGCGCTGCGCTGCAACGGTGGCGAAACTGTCTGTATGATGGTCAACGAGGCGCTGAGATCACCCGCGCGTCAACCGAAACTGGGCTACAGTGAGCCAGCCGCGAAGGCAGCGGGCTGGCAACGCCGTCATCGCCGTCGGCGCCGTCGTCCCAGCAAGCCCAGACATGCGACGCCCTGATGTTTTCAACACGGCGTTCCCAAAGTCCCGACCCTTTCCCCAAGACCGGTCTTTCATCGTCGCTGTTGGACGGTCCCCAAGGGGCCGATTTGTTATTCTCTTTTACAGCAGAAAAAAAACGTCCTGATTACCCTGGCGACGTACCCAACCCATGCGCTATGCGGGGCAGGAGTAGCTTGGGAGATTTGACGAGACGGCGACGACGTGACTTGGACGCATATACTTCTGCGAGCGGCATTCGGAAGGTCCGAAGGCCCACAATCAAGGGAAACACGATGAGTAACTAAGTGAACCCCTGAGTCAATAAGGAAGACGCAAGGTCCAAAAGGAGACGGTGGGCAAGGGACTTGAAACGTCGGCGGGGCAGCAACAACATGACATGCCCCCCCAAGGACGGCGAGGCCCCGCTCAGGTCTGCGCAGTGCCTCACTCCGCTGGACCCACCAGCAGCCCTCGAAAGTGGCGAGCCCACTAGCACCCCTCGAAAGTGGCGACAGTTTCGCAAATCGCAGCCCCCCAAGTACGGGGAGGTCCCGCTCAGACCCGCGCGGTGCCTCACTCCGCTGGACCCACCAGCAGCCCTCGAAAGTGGCGACTCGTTCGCAGATCCTAGCTCCCCAGGGACGGGGAGGTCCGGCTCAGGTCCGCGCGGTGCCTCACTCCGCTGGACCCACCAGCGGCCTCGAAAGTGGCGACAGTTTTGCAGTTCGCAGCCCCCCATGTAAGGCAAGAGGAGACAAGCAGGAAGGGAGGCGGGAGGCGGGAGGCAGGAGGCGGGAGGCTGGAGGAAGGAAGGACGCGTGAGCAGTGGTTATTCAAAACGAATACCCAACCAAGGAGGGTTTGGATTGTTCCCTACGACGATATCATGTCCGGGAGGCCACCATCGTCGCCGTCGACGTCGCTGTGGTTATCGTCGCCCTCGGCGTCGAAGGAGGGCCCAAAAAACGTGCCGGAAGCGCACAGTGCGAAGATGTTGCGACGCCAAGATCCTAGGGTTCGAATCGGGATCGACTGCAGAATTGAGTAACCCCAAGTTTGGCTTTTCCGTCTCGAGAAACTCAAGGCAGCAATTGTTCTCACGTCCCAGCCTCCTGGAGGAAAACGGAGGGCCCCAAGACTGTCAAGAAGCGGCTCACGACGAAGGGCCGGCCCTGGGAAACGGGCCCCAGGACTGTCGACAAGCGGCTCACGACGAAGAGCCAGCCCTAGGAGGAGGAGAAGGAGGAGGAGGACGACGAGGAGGAGGAGGAGGAGCAGGAGGAGCAGGAGGAGGAGGGAGGATGAGGAGGATGAGGAGGAGGAGGAAGAGGAGGAGGATAGAGGAGGAGGAGGAGGAGGAGAGAGGGAGGAGAGAGCGGGGGACAGTAAGAGAGGAGGAGGAGGAGGGAAAGGAGGAGGCAGGGAAGGAGGAGAGAGGAGGAGGGGGGGGGGGGGGGAGGAGGAGGAGGATCTTGTGGAGACCCCGCGCTGAGAACCCCGAGGCGCCGGGCGTCTGGGCCGGGGCGCATGCCGAGGCACGCCGGGCCTGCCGAGGAGGGGGGCCTGCCCGCGTGCAGCCCGAAGCCTTGCCTGGGAGGCACAGAGGCACACCAACACGTCCTCGGCCTCCTCCTCCTCCTTCCTTATATATTTTTTTTTTTATTTTAAACACACCCCCCCCCACCCCCTCCTCCTCCATCCCCCAATCCCCTCCTCCTCCTCCTCCTCCTCCTCCTCCTCCTCCTCCTCCTCCCCCTCCTCATCCTCCTCCGCGTGACCTCCGCGTGCGGGGTGGCCCTCAGGAGTGGATCCAGCGGCTCGCAGAGGTCGCGGCATCGTGGCCCACGTGCGCGTCCTCGGAGGCGCACGTCCGACCCGAACATACGTCTCCTTGGAGGCGCACGTCCGACCAGACCCGTACTAATACGATATGACCTCCTCGGAGGCGCACGCACGTCCGGTTTGATCTTTGTTATGTCCGGCCACGATGGTCGACAACAACGACGACGACGACGACGACGACGACGACGACGACGACGACGACGACGACGACGACGACGACGGGGGCGGGCGGCACCAGGCCCTGGGGGGGGGTCCCAGGTAGCAGTGGCGCTGGAGCGGGGCGAGGCGCGTCGTGGCGGGGGTGCGCTGCGATCGCCAGGGTATGCGCGCCAGCACCGGCATGCGGGGGTGAGGGGTCCAGCCCCCAGCCCCCACCTACGATCGTTGCCGTTGCCTGGGGGGGGAAGGGGTTCGCCTGGCTAGCGACCGGTGGGGGAAGGGGTTCGCTCGGGCAACGAAAATTACCCGCCAGAGGGTTTATGTGCTTCGGGTAAAAAAAACTTCGATGGGTCCCTGAGTCACCCAAGATGACCCACCCCACCAGGTCGTAGTAGGTGCTGTTGCGGCTTGCTGGTTTCTCGAGCAGCGATAACTTCAAAAGTAATGTTTGCAAAGATGGTCTGACGCAAGTGGAATACCTCCCATATCCGTGGGACCTAATGTAGCAATCCCATCATTCAGGCCATCACACATATTGAACATATGATCAACTGACGCCACGCGATCCATTGGACCATTGCTCGAGGCATGGCTGGCAAATCCTTTCGCTCATCCAAGTCTTGAGAATATGTTTTGAGACGGCGACGTCCTGTCTGAACCCCCATGCCTAAGGAGCGCGGGCATGTCTGACATTTCACAGGGAGTGGTTGCAAGATCTGACGTCAACATCTAGACTTAGAGTTGGTCGATTCTGGCAAAGGCGACCGTCCTGGAATCTCCCAAAAACCTTCCCGCGAATTCCCACGAATCTCCCACAATAAACGATTTCGTGCCTTGAACATCTTCCGGCTAAACTCCAGAACATCTTCGCGCCTGAAAACTAACTATTCGGGCGAGTCTCCAAAACAACTTCGCTTCAAACAAATCTCCAATAACGAAATTTCCCTGGAGATGTCCCGGATAATTGTCGTGAATTTTCGGGAAATTTCTGCACGCCGCTTGAAATGTTCGATCGATTTTTTGGAGATTCCGGCACCGCGGAGATTTTCTGGCGATTTCCCAAGAGGCTTCCCAGAAAGATTTCCCATCCCAGAGAGTCTCTGAAGAGATTGAGAATGCCCATCCACAATTTGGAGATTTCCCCGGAGATTCCCCGGAGATTTTTCACCCAGAAGGTCCCGGTCGCCTTTGCCAGATTGGCCCAATTTCAAACTAGAACGACCGAGGCTCGCTAATGCACAGGTGGTGAGCATATCATATCCGAGGTCGCATCCTTTGCCCAATGATCAGTCGCTGATCGGATTCTAAGCACAAGCTTGAATTCACGTGGACGCACGAGCATTGCTGACGCAATGACTCCGTGAATTTCCCAATACACATATGCGAGCACACATGACAACTTGCAATGGACATGCCTTGACGCACAAGGAGCCAGCACAGCCCAACAGCGCGCCGCCATACAAATGGTAAAACTTATAACCAATAAGGGCGCACTTGAAACTGACCATCTTTCAGGGGCACACGCCGGGAGAGGAATGTCAGAATTTCGGCGGGGCTGCGATCCTTGATAAAGGCGGGGCAGAGGCTCCATAACACATCAGGAACCCAGCACGGGAATACATAAACTCTGTACGTGCGCGGAGTGTGCGCAAGGGCTGGGTCAGCAACCGGCGCCTCGACCTTGGCGCTGTCCACGATCGTGAAGTTGCCGATGCCAGGAAGCACCAGATTCTTCAGGACCTGCTGCTTAACCAACGCATGTGCGCGCGAAGCCACCCATGCGCTCACGCAGCCGCGCACAGAATCAAACGTGCGTGAGTTGCCACCCATGCGTGACATAAGCCGATATGGCGGATTCCAAAAACCCTGAACCCAAAAATGTTGTCATCTCTTGGGGGGCGCATCTTTTTCTTCCGCCGCCTTCCGCCAGCTTCCGCCGGCGGAGGCGGCCTCATTTTACTTCGGCCGCCTTCCGTCGGCCTTCGGGAATCTTCCGCCGAGGAAGAGATGGCAACTCCTTCGATCCTAAAAGGCAAGACCGTTCTTGGAACGCCGCATATGACGGGGGGGAGGCACGAGACGCTAGAAGCGGTGCCCCGCGGGAAAGTAGGGGAAGGCCGTGCGCAATGTAAACTGTAGAGCGCCCGCCGCCTCATCGTGTTCATGCGCCTCCTCCTCCTCCTCCTGCTCATTCCGCGCCGACTCTTCGATGAGGAGATCGACTACAGAATTGGTTTACCCAAAATTGTTGCTGTTCGCCGAGGATGCTTTCAGAGCTACGAGATTGGTGACGTAGTTGTGGTAGCTTCGACGGGAGTGTTAACTTTGGGGTAGCTCAATGCTGTAGTCGATCTCCTACTCGAACTCTCTCGTGTGTGGTGTGGACCTCCGCGAGACGAGGACATACGGCCGGGAACGTCTGCTCAGCATGTCGCGGCGACGGCCCCAGGACACGCTGTGCCCTGCGAGCGGACAGCGTGTCGCTCTGGGCGGCTGGGAACGGCAACGGAAACGTCCGAAACCCTCCCCGCCTGGACTCCTACTCCGCCTCGTCCTCCTCAGGAGGGGGCGGCACGCTATTCCTTGGCGAACGGATCGCGCGTCGCCCCGCTCCAGAGGACGCGGACACTTGGGACTGGGGACGTGGACAGCGTACTGCGCCGAAGCGCAGCTGGCCATCGCTCGGACGTCCATTCCCTGTGTGTTTTTCGGCTTCGCGCGTGTTTTTTTCTCGCAGGATCCAGGATGCTCCTTAGTAATCCCCGCCGAGAAAATGCACACGTCCGAGCGATGCCAAGGTCGTGGGCCAGAACCGGCGGAGCGGCACCGCTGAGCCAAAGGACCCTGACCCTATACGACCGCCATGCGCAGGCAGCGCGGGTCGAAGCGAATCGAAAACGACGTGTTCTTCGAGCATCGGGTCGGCTCCAAGGGAGGGCCATTTTTCGACGCCCCTCACGAGGATCGTGGCCTCCGAGGGGGGGGCCGCAATCGACTACCCCCCCTCCCGCCCCAAGAGGCCCCCAAGAGGCCATGGGGGCCCCCAAGACGCCGCCAAGGAGCCCCAAGAGACTCCCAAGAGGTCCCCAAGAGGCCCTAAAGAGGGCTCCAGGGCTGGCGGAATGAGCGAAGCGATTAAATACAATCCTGGCGAAAAGCCCTGTGTGGATGCGAATTAGCTACAGTCGGACCGCTGAAACAAGGAACGGCAAATGAGGAACGAAGCCCCTTTTTGGCCCCAAATGTGCCAGCGTGCACGAGGGGGGCTAGAGGAACAACCGCATAATGACCTAAGGAACATCGAGCCCCTCTCGTACCCAAATTGTTTCGTATTTCAGCGTCTTGACTGTACCCCACGCATGTCTAAGAAAATCCTTGCCTTGCGGACGCAGCAGGAAACAAGAGGAGAGCTGGGAGAGGAGGCACAGCACCGACCCCCCTAGCACTACGCGCGGACCTCCAGCAACCTATAGGTCCCCCAATCGCTGCTTGCACTGGAGGGTTGAGGGATCTGGCGAAAAGACAGGACCCACTTCGGTGGGCAACCAGGCTCCCGTGTTCCGAGTGGGAGTGGGCGAAAAGGCCGGGCCCACTTCGGTGGGCAGCCAGGTTCCCGCGTTCCAGGTCCCCGAGGCCGTGAGGTGTCGCAACAAGGCCTTGGCGAAAGTGTGTTGCCGAATTCGGCGGGCGGCCGAGCCCTGGAGAGCGAGCGAGAGAGAGAGAGAGACATGCATACACATATACACATACATACATACATACATACATACATACATACATACATACATACATACATACATACAAACATACATACATACATACATACATACATACATACATACATACATACATACATACATACATAGATACCTACCTACCTATCTACCTACCTACCTACCTACCTACCTACATCCATACATACATACATGCATGTATACATACATGCATACACTCACATCTTACATACTTTAAATGCATGCATACATGCATGCATAAATGCATGCATGCATGCACACATACATACACACATACACACATACATACATAAATGCATGCATATATACATACACACATACATACATACGTACCTACATGCACACATACATACATACACCCATCCATCAATACATACACAAACACATGCACACACATATACATACATACGTACATGCATGCATACATACATACACACCCATGCATACATGCATACATGCATGCATGCGTACATACATATGTATATGTACATGTATAGAAACATGTATACGTACAATCATCCAGACAACCATGCATGCATCCATACGTTCATGCACATATACACATAGACATGCATACATACGTCCATCACTGCATGCATACATACATACATGCGCACACGCATACAAACACACACATACACACACGTACATACACACATGCATACATGTATACACAACTAGATTCACAAATACATATGCACACGCATGTCTACACATACACAGTCACACACACACACACACGTACACGTACACGTACACATACACACGCACATCCATACATGCATACATGCATATATACATGCATGAACGTATTCATACATACATGCATACACACGCCCACGCAAACATGCATTATTACATACGTATATACCCACATACACATACACATACACATAACTGCGTAAACGCACATATACACATACCTGCATGCATGCACACGTACACACATACACACATACACGCATCCATACACACGTACTAAACATACACATATGACTGCAAATATATACATACAAACATATATACATACATACATACATACATACATACATACATACATACATACATACATACATACATACATACATACATACATACATACATACATACAAACGTACATACATACATACATACATACATACATGCAGACATACCTAGATACATGTGCACGTACGTACATACACACAAACGTAAATATATCAGCACACAGAGAGAAGTGGGGATATATACAGAGAAAGACAGAAAGAGAGAGCACAGTGACTAGGACGATTGAGATGAGCAGAGGGAACTGAACGCGTGGAGAGACAATGAAGCAGAACGTGGAAAGCAAGAGAGCATGGAACAGCGCGAGGAGGGCAGAGAGCAGAGAGCATCGTTGAGACAGCAGGCGGGCGAGAGCGGAGAGGAGACGCTGGAAGGCGGCCAAGGGATATGAGCTGAAGGGGCCTCGAGAACACCTGTCAAGACTGGGGAATCAGGGCAAATCAACTCAACATCGGTCCCCTGACCCATCCAGGGTCCATCTCTCGAGGTCCATCTGATATAGCGTTTCATCCCAGATCTTATGTTGACCGTCCCGAGGCCATAAAGCGGCCCTGGAGATTGAAAAGGGCAAAGCACATCCTCGAACCCAGAACCTCAAATCTCGCCCCCCCCCCCCCCCTCCTTCTTGTTGGTCGGCAACAATGCTGGGCCACCTCAGACCCCACGAGCAGCGGACCTCGAACTCCCAAAAAGACCCCACCGTGCTGTGCGGAGTCGGAGAAGGGGGGCTGCGTGCATAGGAGGCGGGGGAGAAGGATGAGGAGGAGGTGGCGGATGAGCAGGAAAATGCGCAAGATGACCAGGGCAGATCAAGGTAGATCATAAGACGGAGCATGCACCCTCGCAACATACCCGCGAAGGGGGGGCGGTCCCTCCCTGGGCCTGCACATGAGACCGCGCCAAAAGACGCCCCCTGGGACCAGCCGCCGCCGCCCCCCCCCGGACGCAGGGGGAGGCCGGTCCCAGGTCGGCTCCAGGGAGGAGGATCAGGGAGGAGCACAGAGCACAGAGGAGAGGAAGTGAGAGCCACCCAGTGCGAAGATGACGATACCACTGATGCGCCAGCCCCCGCGCTCTCAACGAAGGGCTACGATCGTGGTCCGCCAGGCCCGTGCGCTGCGAGCGCGGCCTGGGTGCAGAGTCTGCTCCAGCACGGCTGCAGCGAACGGCGCGACCGCAGCAGCGCAGGCGGCGGAGAGGCGTGGAGCGGAGAGCGAGCGGCAGAGAGGTGGCGCGCAAGTGAGGCGGAGCAGGCGCTCCGCTCCGAGCATCGGCCGCGAGCGGCCCGCGGGCCGCGGCCTCCGCGGCGAAGGCGAAGGGGCCGAACACGCGGCATTTCGCCCTCGCTCCTGCTCCTCCTCCTGCACCCTTCTCCTCCTCCTCCTCCTCCTCGTCGTGGTCCTCCTCCTTCTCCTCCTCCTCCTCCTCCCATTCCCCTCCTCCTCCTCCCTCTCCTCCTCCTCCTCCTCGTCCTCCTCCTTCTCCTCCTCCTCCTCCTCCTCCTCCTCCTCTACTCGTCCTCCTCCTCCTCCTCCTCCTCCCCTCCTCCTCCTCCTCCCCCTCCTCCGCCTCCTCCTCCTCCTCCTCCCCTCCTCCTGCCTCCTCTCCTCCTCCTCCTCCCCCCCTCCTCCTCCTCCCCCTCTTCCTCCTCCTGCTCCTCCTTCTCCTGCTCTTCTTCTTCTTCTTCTTCTTCTTCTTATTATTATTATTATTATTATTATTCTTCTTCTTCTTCTTCTTCTTCTGCCTCCTCCTATTCCTCCTCCTCCTGCTCCTCCTCCTCCTCCTCTTCGCTCCGTGCTCCGTGGCCTCCGTGGCGACGGCGGAGGAGCCCAGCACGCAGAGCTTCGCCTCCATCAGCGCCTGGCGCTCTCCGGGTGGCGCGGGCTCACGCCGGGCTCACGCCGGGCTCACGCCGGGCTCACGTGGCGCGCGCGCGCGCCGCGTGCCCCTGCCGGGGCCGCCTCGGCTGCTGCAGCTGACGCCCTGGTCTCCGGGTATTTGCCCGAAAGATGGGGATCGGCAACAAATTTGACTCACTCATGGAGCATGCGTAGATGATTGATGTGTTGGAACAGCTACACACACATACACACCTCCATATCTATACCGATGGAAATCTAAGTGTGTACGTACGCATGCATGCACACAACGGCTTTGATCATTGAGAAAGGTCATAGTGAAGACAGTCTTGACAAATATCCTGAAATAAGGGAATGGGGGAGGGGGTCAGGGAATGAGAGGGGGGGTGGAGAGGGAGGGGGACAGAAGGGGAAGGAGATGAAGACGCGGGGAGGGCGGGAGGGCAGGGAGAGGGGGAGGGGGTGGACAAGGAGGCGAACGGTGAGGTGGGGGGGGGCGCAGGGCAGAGAAGGCCAACCATGGGAGGGGATGGCATGTGAATGGGAAGGGGAGGGAAGGGGAGGAGCACATAGTTCCGCCGTATCACTCGGCCGTATAGATCCCGCAGTCGATCGAGGGGAGAGGGAGGAGAGAGGGGGGGAGCGGATGATCGAAGAGAAGGGGGAGAAGGCGGTAGGAGGGGCCCAGAGGAGGAGGGAGAGAGAGGGGGGGAGAAGGGGGGGAAAAAGGAGAAGGGGAGCGAGGGGGGCACGAGCGAGGACGTCTCGGAGCGCGAGGGGGGGGGGGGGGGGGCGGAGCTGGGGTTGGAAGGGCACAGGCGAGCGGGGAGGAGAAAGCTAGGACAGGGGAGGAGGGGATAGGTGAACGGGGAAAGGAGGAGACGCGCGACACAGGTCTTCCTCCTCCCTCGGATCCAGGTAAGGAGATACCGCAGTCCTGCTCCCCGCTCTTGCATTCAAGCCTGCCAGCAGAAAAAACAAACAACAAAAAACACCCGCCGCCAAGACCTCCCCAGAATGAGATGTTCCTATTTCTCCAACCCCCTCCTCCTCCTCCTCTTCCTCATCCTCCTCCTTTTCATCCTCCTCCTCCTCCTCATCCTCATCCTTCTCCTCCTCCTCATCCTCCTCGTCCTCCTCCTCTTCCTCCTCCTACTCCTCCTCCCCCTCCTCCTTTTCCTCCTCTTTCTCTCTCCTCCTCCTCCTCCTCCTCCTCCTGTCTCCCTCCCTCCTCCTCCTACGTCCTCCTCCTCTTCCTCCTCCTCCTCCTCCCTCCTCCTCCTCCTCCTCCTCCTCCTCCCTCTCCCCCTCCTCCTTTCCTCCCTTCCTCCTCCTCCTCCTCCACCTCCCCCTCCCTACCTTCTCAACGTCCTCCTTCCTCCTGTTCCACCTGGTCCTCCTCCTCCTCCTCCTCCTGCTCCTCCTCCTCCTCCTCCTCCTCCTCCTCCTCCTTATCCCCCCTCCTCCTCTTCCTCGTCCTCCTCCTCTTTCTCCTCCCTCGTCCTTCTCGTCCTCCCTCCTCATTCCGCCCTCCTCCCACATCCCTCCTCCCTCCTCCCTGCTCCCACATCCCTCCTCCCTCCTCCCTCCTCGCTGCCCCCTGCTCCCTGCTCCTCCCTCCTCCCTCCCCGCCGCGGGGGTGCGCCGCGGCGCGCCTTCTGCCCGTGGGCCCCCCAGAGGCGGAGCTGGCGGTCATACTTGTCGTCGGTCGCCATGCCCCCCTGGGCCCGCGGGCCGCCGCCTCTCCGGGGGGAGGCAGGTGCCGGAGGAGGAGGAGGAGGAGGAGGAGGAGGAGGAGGAGGAGCAGGAGGAGGAGGAGGACGAGGAGGAGGACGAGGAGGAAAAGGAGGAGGAGGAGGAGGAGGAGGAGGAGGAGGAGGAGCGGGAGGAAGAGGAGGAGGAGCAGGAGGAGGAAGAGGAGGAGGAGGAGGAGGAGGAGGACGAGGAGGAGGACGAGGAGGAGAAGAAGGAGGAGGAGGAGGAGGAGGAGGAGGAAGGGGGAGGAGGGCAAGCTAGGGGCGCCAGCGTCACATCTGAAGTCCTACCCCTCCCTCCCATCCCTTAGCATAGCGCATAGCGTAGATCTCCGACCTACTCGCACAGTCGGACGTCGGCAGAGCATAGCATGTCATAGCGTGGAATTGCGTAGTGAAGCATTGCATCACAAAGCATAGCAACGCAAAACATGGCACCGCACAGCGGTGCACAACATAGCATCGCATTGCATGCCGTGGAATGGCACCGGTCATCGGATGACTTGGAGGGTAAGTGTCCCGTCTACGAGAGGACACAGCCTGCCTGGAATGCCGGCTCCATGTCCTCCACAACCGTACCTGCCCGATGTTGGCGCTTTCGAATGCCAAGTGCCGTCTGGAGGAGCGGGAACGAGGCCAACGATGCAGCGGGAGCACGATTTTGAGTGACCGAAGTGCGGGAATGAGGGCGGCGCTGCAGCGGGAGCACCACTTTGGAAGAACCAGAAACGACTGGATGCGAAAAAACACATACGAAAAACCAAATAATGGCATCCTGCGGATTAATTAAAAAGCAATGCGCGGTCAGGACGGAACACTCTCCGGACAGAGTCAGGGGAGAGAGGAGAATAGTATTCATATTATGTAGTTGTGGAGGAGGAGGAGGGGGAGGAGGGGAGGGAGAAGGAAGAGGAGGAGAAGCAACAGCAGCAGGATCGATAGGAGAAAGGGGGCGGAGGAGGGGGAGGATGAGGAGGAAAATGATGAGGAGGAGGAGGAGGAGGATCGAGCGGATCGAATCGGTTCCGAATGCCGCACGGTATCGCGCCGAGGGCCGCCTGGCCGCATCGGGCCGTCCCCGCGCCGTGCCAGGCAACCTGGAAGCAGATTTCTTTCTTTCCCAAGCTTCTCGCACGAGCTGATCTCTGCGCTGTAGCTGAGAATGGGCCATCCGGGCCCAGCTGCAACAGACCCTTTGCTACTGCTGACATTGGGCTCCAGCTTCGCCCCCAGCTTCTCGCAAGAGGCTTGCCACTTAGCTTCCGATGGATTGCAACCATGCCTTGCACGGCTGCTCCCCGGCTGTTCCGCGCACGAGCTGATCTCAGCGCTGTACTTGGTGACGTGCTCCCCTGCACCTCCGCTTCTCGCCATAGCTGATCCTTGCATGTAGCTAATATTCCGCTCCGAAGGTCGCCTTTATGACAGTGCCAGATGCTGCCACTGTGCGCCGTCTCGCACGAGCTCCTGATATCAATAAGCTGATGCCACCAGGGAGCACCGACACACTGCCCCGATTTCTGCTCTGCTAGCTGATATATCGCCCATTGCCGCCCTTCTCGTATGGACTGCGCCCAGCGTTGTAGCTGATTTGCCGCCCACTGCCTGCATTCTCGCACGAACTCCTCCCAACATTGCAGCTGGTCGTCGCTCACTGCCGCCCTTCGCACATGCACTACTTCCAGCGGTGTAGCCGAAGTGTTGCCCACTGCGTGCCTTTTCGCACGAACGACTTCCAGCGCTGTAGCTGATGTGGCGCTCACTGCCTGCCTTCTCGCACGACCACCCCCAGCGCTGTAGATGATGTGTCGCTTGTATGGCTCCCGCATTTTGCCTTGATGCCAGCACTGCAGCTGATGACGTCGGGCTCGTCCTTCGCCTGTCGGGTCACCATGTTCGCCTTCAGCTGCTCGTACCTCGTCGAGTGTAGCTGATGACGTTGGGCTCGTCATTCGCCTTCGCTTCCTGCTTGGGGCCCCAGCTTCGCCTGCCGCTTCTATCGCAGTGAGGCGCTTGGCTTGGTGTCAGCATGTCCTGATCCCAGCGCGGTAGCTGATGATGTCGGGCCCGTCCCTTTGAAGCGACAGGGCTTGCTGCCGCTGCCCGCTTTCTCGCACGAGCTGGTCGCCGCGATGTAGCTGCTGGCCCTCTCGCGTCGAGGTGCACCGATCCACTGCCCCGATTGCTGCTCTCCTTCTCACACAGGCCGATCCCAGCGTTGCAGTTGATGACGTTGGGCGTGTGCGTCGCCTTGGACAGCAACAGAACCTGCTGCTCCTGCCCGCCGTGTCGCACTGGCGGCCGCTGCGGCCAGTGCTCTCCGTCTCGCACTCGCTGGTCCCAGCATTGTAGCTGATGATGGAGGACGGAGAGAAGGGAGCGGAGGAGGGCGCGGTCCCTGGCGGCTGCGCTCGCGCCTGGTCTCAGCAATATAGCTGATAGCGTGGGGCTCGGCGCTTCTTCATGACTGAAAGAGCGTGTTCTACCGCTGCTGGCGGACAACCGAGGGGGGTCACTACCGATTCGAACCCCTCCCCCCCCCCTCGGAAAACCGGGGGGGGGGTCACTACCGGTTCGAACCCCCCCCCCCCCCAGCTCAGCGGTGTGCTCAGCGGTGTGGGTGAAAACGGTTGGCTCCACGGTCCTCCATAGCTCGAAAATGGCGAACCCCATCGCCCCCGCGTGCCCCGTGCAGGGGGGTCCGCTTGGACGCGAGATGGCTTGAGCCAAAATGGCTACGGCAGGAGGAGGACGAGGAGGAGGAGGAGGAGGAAGAGCAGAAGGAGGAGGAGGAAGAGCAGAAGGAGGAGGAGGAGGAGGAGGAGGAGGAGGAGGGGCGCCGCTTTCCCCAGGCATCCAGAGTCTCGAAAAACTGTGGTGATGCGAGAGGTCCGAGGTTTCATTACGTCGTCCCTCCTCCTCCTCCTCCTCCTCCTCCTCCTCCTCACCACCACCACCACCACCACCACCACCACCACCACCACCACCCCACCACCACCACCATCACCATCCCATCATCATCATCATCATCAACATCAACATCATCAATCATCATCATCATCATCATCATCATCATCATCATCATCATCATCATCATCATCATCATCATCATCATCATCATCATCATCATCATCATCATCATCATCATCATCATCATCATCATCATCATCATCATCATCATCATCATCATCATCATCATCATCATCAGCAGCAGCAGCAGCAGCAGCAGCATCATCAGCATCATCATCATCATCATCATCATCATCATCATCATATGCAGCAGCAGCAGCAGCATCATCATCTCCCTCCTCCTCCCCCTCCTCCTCTCTTCCTCCTCCTCCTCCTCCTCGTCCTCGTCCTCGTCCTCCTCCTCCTCCGCGATCTCCTCCTCCTCCTCCTCCTCCTCCTCCTCCTCCCACTCCCCCTCGTCCTCCCTTCCTCACCCTCGTCCTGTGACCTTCTCGCACAGGCATTGGAGAAGCTCGCCTGGAGTTTTCAGTTCGAAGTTCGAGGTCTTCAGGAATGTTCGTCGGTTCTCGGCTGTGCTCCAGCCTCGGGGTGCTTTCAAGCGGCCGCGCCTCGCCGAGGACGTTCCTGGGGTGCCCGGATCGCCCCGAACGGCCGCCGGAGACCCGAGTTGTGATCCGAAAACCAAAAGCCGCCGAGCCCAGACTCATGATCAGCCAGCATCGAACTGGGAAATCGGGAAATCGGATCGAGTCGGAGTGCGCGCCGAACACAAGGGCGCGTCGAATCGCATCGGCCGGGCCAAGACGCACGACAGCGCCATGCAAGCGTCGAGCCGCACCGCATCGTCGGAGTATAGAATCGGATCCAGAGGGCCGGAACCGAGATCGAATCCCAAACGTACGACGTCCTGACTTTTTCAAGACGGCGTCCCGGAGGTCCCGACCCCTTCCCCAGGACTGGCCTTTCGTCCCGAGTCGTTCTTTGACGGCCCCGGGGCCCAGCGAGGGCCCCTGGGGGCGAAAACTGAGAAACCCCCCCCGCCCCGATTTTTTTTTATGACGCGAGCAGGTCTGGGACTGGATCGATCGGATCGAGCTGCACCCTGCAGGCCTCGAGAGCCTCCGGGCGGAAGCTCCTCGCAGCCTTCGGCCTCCGGGGGCCCCCTCGCCGGGCCCCCAAGGGCTGCCAGGGAACGGCTGCGGACGCAGAGCCGGTCCCCGGGGGAGGAGTCCAGGCCCAGGCGCGCGACGTCCTCCTTTTTCAATGCCATGCGTTGTGGCGCGCCTGCGGAGGAGGAGGAGGAGGAGGAGGAGGAGGAGGAGGAGGAGGAGGAGGAGGAGGAGAAGGAGGAGGAGGAGGAGGAGGAAGAGGAGGAGGAGGAGGAGGAGGAGAAGGAGGAGGAGCAGGAGGAGGTGAACGAGGAGGAGGAGGAGGAGGAGGAGGAGGAGGAGGAGGACGACGACGACGACGACGGCGACGGCGAGAACGAGGACGCGGGACCCAGACATGCGACGTCCTGATTTTTGCAATGCGGCGTCCCCGGAAGTCCCGACCCCTTTTCCCAGGACGGGCTCTCTCCATCCCGAGCCGATCTTTGACGCTCCCGGCGAGGTCTGGACCAGGCCCACCCGCGACGAGCGACTCCAGGAGGGCGACCTCCAAGGTGCTGGCCTCGCCCCCGCGCGGCCTCCATAGGGCGAAGCGGCTGGGCCCGAGGTCGGGGCTCCTGCCCGCCAGCGCCTCGAAGCCCGGGTGGAGCGGCACGGCCCCCACCGGCGCACGGCGAACCCCGCGCCCCACGAGGTGGCTGACCATACGCGGTCTGTGCTCCCTCGGCTCTACCGCATGGCCCTGGTCGGTCCGCCACCTGTCCCAGACCTCGGCTGCCCAGCCGGTCCTTTGCAGCGTGAGCCTCGCCGCTCCTCCTCCTCCTCCTCCTCCTCCTCCTCCTCCTCCTCCTCCTCCTCCTCCTCCTCCTCCTCTTCCTCCTC